TTGCTCAGTAAGAACAGAACCAAATATAGAAAAATGCAGACACACTCCAAACCCTAACAACTCTTTTCCTTTGCCGAACTCCTTCCGATTTTTTCAATATTTTGTTCCATATGAATCTGCATACTTTGGGATACTCAATGTTTCAGAAGTACTGCTAGGTTTGCAATTCTTCGATTTAAAAAAAACACATCATAGAATGATTCTACGAGGGTTGTTCGAAAAGTTCGTGGACGATGTCAATCTTCGTTATACTACTTTCAAGACATTGAAAATAAGCTCAATATCCTGTGTAAAAATATTTTTTTTGTTTATGAGTGAAGTTTTATTTCATTCGATTTAATAGAAATCAATTTACTTCATTTTAAAATCAACATGTTTTGTACCCGCGGAGCATACTTAACGGCGATGTAACGTCAAAATCATAGCATCAAGAATTTCTTAAAAGGACTATCCCTATAGATTTCAACAGTTTAGTTCAATAATCACTTATTAAAAAACCCTTTTCTAGCACTTGAAATTCATTTTTCTAACAATTGCTTTCATTGTATAATTTCCTTTGTCAATGTTTTAATTTCTGTTACAACTTAGCTGTGCTTTTACAAGATTAGCAACTCGGAAGCGCTATGTCTTTCCATGATGTCCCAAATTTTTAAAGTTCTTGATCAGATTTTATCAGATAAACCGTTTCTTCACAGATTGTCCTCGTCCGATACAGGGTCTCTGTCACTCAGATACCGCCTGTACAGTTTATAAACACATGCACGACTTTAATAGTGACTTAATTTTTTTTATTCCTTTAACATTTTTAGAATTTATTGAGGATTTTTTCCCGAGTATAACACAAAATTGCATCGTTACGTGCTGCTCTGTAACGTTCAACAACGTCATCATTTTTGCCGCTTTCAAGGATTACCTATCTTCCCAAATTTATATCTTCTAAACGAATCAAAATATTTAGCCATAATTTGGAATATGAATCAATTTAACAGTCCTTAATTTCAAAGTCTATGATTTTTTTCCCGTTTTTGCTCCTTTTTACAGAGAATATGACTACAGACAGTGCCATATATATTTCATGTGTTGTTTGTGAAGTTCTAAATTTTGACCTGCTCCGCGATCCGATTTTTGCAGTTTTAAATTCTGGAGTGGTTTGAAATTAATTATGATATATTAATTTTTTTAAACACAAACCATTTGGATTTATTGTTAAAATATTCCTACCAAAATTGGTTTGCATATGACGTTAAATAAAAAAGATATGACAGGAGTCCACGAACTTTTCGAACAACCCTCGTATAATAGGCTTTCCTTCTTAAAAAGTATAATTCTATTTGAAAATTCGCATTTAATCGGAAGTATCAAAGAGTAAAACCATAGATTACTCGAGAAAACTACATATAGATTAAGAAAGTAGCCAATATTGTCATCTGATAGAAAGTAAATGAAATAGATAAAAAAAAAATTTAATGGTTTTTAAATTCTCTTTTTTAATTTCCAGGTACACCATTTCCTCTGTCAGTTTCTAGTGATGTTATATTGTATTTCACTTACCCTACCTGCAGGTAATGTCATGTTGTAAATTTTGAATTTACCGGGTGGCAGTAAATACAAAATTTAAAACATTACAACTAACTTGTAAATTTTGTATTTACTGCCACCCGGTAAATTCAAAATTTGCAACACGACAGTAAACTCATTTGCCATTTTAAACTTACACATTCATTAATATTTTTTTTGCGTGAAAAGACATTGATGAAGGAGAAAAAAAACTTAATAAAAAAGAAATAATGTTCTTAGTTTGAGTTCATTACTTTATCGATTATGGATATTCCAAATTGTCCTAACCCTCCCCCCAATAAAAAAAACACTCTTCGTACTCTGTGTATAGATAAAATTTATGCATTTGAAAATATATTTCTAATAAATTTATGCCTTTTCAGTCATCTGAGTTTCTCTGCGATTCTCAATATATGACCATCTTCAACTGCAGGGAAGAATAAAGCTTTGGACTAATGTGATTTGGTCAGAAACTACTTGATCAGTTTAACAATATATTGAATTGAATCTTTATAAGAATAGATGTTTAGACAGCATATGATGAACGAATCCTTGATGGGGTTAAAATATAACTGATTTTTTTAATACAAGCAAATTAACCTTCATGTTGTTTTGGGATACCAATCCTTTGCTTAGGGGTTTATAAAATTCCAAACCTTTCAAGAACAATCATTCTCCCACTTTCTAGCATGTACCATGCTCTACCCACTACATCTCATTGGGGACTAGGGGCAAAATGAGACAAATGACTGTTTTTAAAAAGGAAACATTATTGTGTTTGAGTTATCTCTCATTTAAAAAAAAATCGTTGATTATTTTTAAAGTTATCTTTCTTCTAAAAGGGACTCTTTTTCAAAATGACAAAATTGTTTAATTCCAGGTTGTGAAAAGGGCTACTACAGATATAGTTCCAGCAAGACATCAGGATTTTTTGAGTCTTATTCCGCAATATCCTATCACAGTTGTGCGGGGTTATGTACCGATGCTGCCAACTGCAAGGGGTTTGTTTATAATAGTCTCACCGCAGTATGTTCCCTGGCTGCTAATGACGATCCAGTTCCCGTGCCAGACTCTCCACAATGGTCGTTCTCAGAAAAAATGTGTCTTTCTGGTAAGTCAGTGTAATATATGTTTACAGAAAGCAATATAATGTGGTATAAAAACATGAGGTATAATGTATCTTAAAATTATGGAACATGATGTGATATCAATATACATTGTATCAATTCAAATTATGGAATTGCTGGCTGACGTTTTTCTACTAATTCTTAGACCATTAATTATTTACACACTGAATTGTCGAAGGACTTTTCCCAATCATGACAAGGAACACACGGCGGGTGTGACCGGTCGGCAGGGGATGCTCACTCCTCCATGCCACCTGACCCCACCTCTAATGTTTTAGAGGTCCATGTTTGCTCTGCTCCTGATTCGATATATTTAATGGCCTTTTGAGCTCAAGACTGTTCGGTATCTCAATAATCAATATTTCATTCTAAAATATTTTATCTAACAACTTTTGTATCGTGCAGAGCTTTTGCTGCTGTTGCCGCCTACGACAGAAGTTGTAACCACAACAGAAGAAATAGACAACACTGTTCCATTTCAAACATCTCTTGAAACAACGACAAAAGATGTAACCACAACAAAGGAATTAGAAAGCACTGTTCCATTAGAAACAACTGTTCCATTTAAAAGACCTGAACATGAAACAACGACAGAAGATGTTACCACAATAGAGAAACTAGAAATAACGACCATACAGACAGCTTTCACACCATCTACCGTGGCATCTACAGCCCTAACAGAAATTACAACACTAAAAATCGAGACCAAAAAGACAACTGTTACAACAGAATCCCCGAAAACTTCATCATCGAGTGAACTAACAATAACTAATCAAACAACGACAGGTTTAACTACAAAAGACTTGACACCTTTCTTTCTTTCTTCGTACTGCCAATGTGTCTGTGAAGAAACTTCGGAAACACTTTCCAAACGTATAGCCGAAAGACAGCAGGATCTGAGACTGGATCGTCGTGCGTTGTCGTCCTATGCTAGGAAGCTCAAGTGTGCCCAGGACAATAGACCCTCCTCCACTAACATCGGCTATTTAGGAGTTGTTGTTCTTATTACCTGTGGATTCTTTATTTTCTTTCCAGATATCATAAGGATTGTAGAGGATTTAAGATAAATAAAGCATCGTATTAAAGTTCCTTATAGTGTATCAGTTGGTGTTTATATCAACCGTAACGAGTGTCAAAACAACTAAGACTAAACGGTTTTGCCTTGATGCATTTTATTATCTCTCTAGATATGATGTAAATGCAAAACTATATGGAAAATACTCATTTATAAAGCACTTGTTAAGCTTTCAACAGCACAGATTTTCCTTCCAACCCTTGTTTCCACAAGTGTTTCGGTAAGGAAATTATGATAGCACTATCATGAAATTTGTATTCCCAACTAAAACAATTTTTAAAATTTTACATACATGTAGCCTTTAGCTCTATACTGGTCAGTGACCAGAAGAGCTTATGTTATTGTAATGTGTCCATCTGTCTAACTGTCTGTCTGTCTGTCTATAAACAGTTTTTTTTTTCAAAACACTACTCCTCCTTTAGTTGTGGTCCAATTTCAGTATAACTTGTCACACAAGTAGAATAGACTAAGTACATAATTTAGTGCGTAGGTTTTTTGATGAACTGTGTTGCCATAGTTATTAAATTGAAACTACTTTGAAATTCCTTTAAAACGCTTCTTCTCCTACAGTTATGGTCCGATTGCTATATAACTTGGCACACAAGTAGACTACACAAAGACACATAACTAAAGCATCGGTTTTTGATCTTGATGAACGATATTACTATGATAAATTGCTTGAATTTCCTTAAAAAAAGCCAATCCTCCTATAGTATTGATTGATTTCAATATAACGTGGCACACATGTAGACAACCCGTCCATACACTAAAAGTTTAAGACACATTTTAGTGCATTTTTTTTATGAATGGTGTTGATATAGTGACTATAATGCTACTCATCCTTAAGTTTTGGTCTGATTTCAATACTACATGTACTTGGCAAACAAGTAGTCTATTATTATATACATACTTTTCTTTATGTTTTTTTTTAATTTTGAAAAAAAGGAGATACCATGGTTCTAAAATTTGAAATTTTTATTAAATCGTACTCCAATAGTTTCAATCTGATTGCAAATTAACCTTGCGACAAAGCAAATAAATCAAAGACTATTATTATTCTAGGCATTGCTGGTGCTTAGTTTTGAGTGCAAATGCTACTTATCTCTAGATACAAAGCAGTAGAGCTACAGTCTCACCAGGGACTTCTGGTTGATTTAAGCATTGATTTTCCAGGTTATAATTTAAACACAGTGTTAAAAGCTAAATGTCTTAGATGGAACAAGAAAACAAACACAACTGATTTCAGATAACTCGGCTAAATACGAGCATTTATTTAATGCCTCCTGAAATAACAATGTATGCATGTGTATGTATAAATGAAAACCCTTAAATTTAACAAAAGCCTGCATGTGTATAACCTAAAAATACCATTGTTTATCATATATTGACAGTAAATTACAACATGTATCGGAAAATATTAACATACCTGAGAATCTTTCTTGCAACTACAGTAATACTATAGTATGATTTTAATAAAAACCAGAAGTCTCTGTCGAGACTGTAGCTCTACTGGTTTGTACTTATCAAAAACCATTGCACTATTTTATGTATCTTTGTGAAGTCTACTTGTGTGCCAACTTATTTTGAAATCAGACAAAAACTGTAGAAGGAGTAGTGTTTTTAAGGAATTCCACAGAAAATTCTATTTTGAGTAACCATAGCAATACCGTTCATCGAAATCAAAAACCGATGCACTATTCTATGTATCTTAGTGTAGTCTACTTGTGTGCCAAGTTATATTGAAATCAGACCAAAACTGTAGAAGGATTAGCGTTTTAAAAGAATTTCACAGAAAATTCTATTTTTAGTAACCATGGCAACACCGTTCATCTAAATCAAAAACCAATGCACTATTCTATGTATCTAAGTGTAGTCTACTTGTGTGCCAAGTTATACTGAAATCAGACAAAAACTGTAGAAGGAGTAGCGTTTTTAAGGAATTTTACAGAAAATTTTATTTTTAGTAACCATGGCAACACCTTTCATCGAAATCAAAAACCGATGCACTATTCTATGTATCTTAGTGTAGTCTACTTGTCTGCCAAGTTATATTGAAATTAGACAAAAACTGTAGAAGGAGTAGCATTTTTAAGGAATTTCACAAAAAATTCTATTTTTAGTAACCATGGCAACAACCTTCATCAAAATCAAAAACCAATGCACTATTCTATGTATCTTAGTGTAGTTTACTTGTGTGCCAAGTTATATTGAAATCAGACCAAAACTGTAGAAGGAGTAGCGTTTTAAAGGAATTTCACAGAAAATTCTATTTTTAGTAACCATGGCAACACCCTTCATTGAAATCAAAAATCGATGCACTATTCTATGTATCTTAGTGTTGTCTACTTGTGTGCCAAGTTATACTGAAATCAGACAAAAACTGTAGAAAGAGTAGCATTTTTAAGGAATTTCACAGAAAATTCTATTTTTAGTAACCATGGCAACACCGTTCATCGAAATCAAAAACCGATGCACTATTCTATGTATCTTAGTGTAGTCTACTTGTGTGCCAAGTTATACTGAAATCAGACCAAAACTGTAGAAGGAGTAGCGTTTTAAAGGAATTTCACAGAAAATTCTATTTTTAGTAACCATGGCAACACCATTCATCGAAATCAAAAATCGATGCACTATTCTATGTATCTTAGTGTAGTCTACTTGTGTGCCAAGTAATATTGAAATCAGACCAAAACTGTAGAAGGAGTAGCATTTTTAAGGAATTTCCCAGAAAATTCTATTTTTAGTAACCATGGCAACACCATTCATCGAAATCAAAAACCGATGCACTATTCTATGTATCTTAGTGTAGTCTACTTGTGTGCCAAGTTATACTGAAATCAAACTAAAATTGTAGGAGGAGTAGCGTTTTGAAAAATTGTTTACAGACGGACAAAACGGACGCCGGACGCATTACTATCGCATAAGCTCTTCTGGTCTCTGACCAGTAGAGCTAAAAATCAGATTATTATCATCATATACATTTTCAAAAAATGTACAATCTTTTATAAACGGGGATTCAATGTTCGTTAGCATTTTGTTGGTTCACGGAGCGTTATTTCATTCGTAACATGTATGAAAAGAAATATCTGAAGAAATACATGGTGGCCAAAATTTTGTGGGGACATATATATGAGGTGACGTATAATATCCACGACCCCCCCCCCCCTTCCTTCTTAAAATAATGATGATTTCACTGTAGCTGGTTTTGAAAATAAGAGAAATAAAAAAAAACTGTTGATATGTGGAAAATTGAGAATCTATCCGGTAAGTAAAAGAATGCGAGTGATCAGCAAGCATCTAAATGCTAATAAAATCGAAATTCAAAAAAAAAAAATACTAGTCTATATCTCTCAGTAAATTCACTATGTGCTATAACGACGCCCTTTTCGTCCTCTGCCATTCCAAAAACGATTCCCCCTCGTCGGACAAGTCTTCTTCCTTCGACACATTAACATTAGAGTGTATAAATGGGGAGATATGATTAGAGTTGGGATTTGAATTATAAATTTTATCTTTAGGGGAGCGCCATTTGTAACACGAACACGAACAGACAGACAAAACCTCTTGAAATTCGGGACGCTCTTGAGCGTTTGACACGACTCCGCCATTTCCAGTTATGACGTCACCTTCCAGACGAACTGCATTCTGGGCGGCCACGGCAGCCTCTATTTCATCTCTTCTTTCGTCCTCGGTGTTCATCGTTAAAAATCGCAGTACAAGTAAATTCATGGCTGCAGAAATGACTGTTAAACCTATTATAATGAACAACAGACTAACGACTATATATCCAGGGTCGTTGTTTTCCCTCTGCATGGCCACATAATCCCCAAACCCTATCGTTGTAAGAGTTATAAAACAATAATAAAAAGCATCAAGCATCTTCCATCCCTCGTTCCGGGAAAAGATGAGAGCGCCAGTTGTCAGTATTATACTGGATAACATAAGTGTTATCACTATTAAGTCAGTCTGGGACACTTCTTTGCTCTTACATCGAAAACACTTCTTGACATTTTTCAGCAAAAACGTTACAAAAGTATTGAGTCGTTCACCAACACTTTGGAACATGATCAGAAACAATGGAATCCCAACCAATGCGTATATCATACAAAACAGCTTGCCTGGTACTGTTTTTGGTGTACTGTGACCATATCCTAAAAGAAAACAATGAATTGAATTTTGCTTTTGGTTTATATGTAACTATATAATCAAATATATATGCAAAATACATATATATAATTCGAAATTAATTTTCAAAGAATTCCTCAAATTCTTAATGTACACAGATTTTGAAGCAATTATTTTATGCATGTCTGCTATAGATAAGTGTACGGTGTGAAATTCAATTCATTATGATATTTCTATGAATTGTTTCTAATTTAGCAGAAAAAGATAATGGGCTTACCAATTACAGAGCAGACGACGAGGGAAAAATAAAGTGCACCTACAAACTTCCATTGGTTTTCCACTCTATATTGCCTCGACCTCAATGCATTTTCGCGAATCCTTTCAAAGTCTTCATCCGAGATGTTGTGTTTCTTTATGATTGCTTCCTCGCGACTGAGGAGACTTCTCTTCATTTCAATTTCGTTTTCTGATTCCAGGGCGTCGAAAACGGCGGCGCCGATCAGAAGGTAGGTAAAAGTGCAGACGATCAGAGACAATGTTCTCACGTTCTGTCGTTTCATCATTAGGAGCATTAACAGTAAAGGTCCTCACATTAAAAGGTGTATCGAAGACTCTGAAAAAAAGATGTTTGCTGTTAATATATTGTTTGAAATGCACGTGCGGTAAGAAAGTAGGAATTCAAGAAACACAATCTAGACAAGACATAATGACATCACTGAATTGCTTTCTAATGTGAATCAAAACAACGTAGCTGAATCATTTAAGTATGTACAGTATTTACATTATGCTTAATTCTTTTTGCATTCGAAGGGCGACTAGTTTTAATTTTAAAACTATTACATCCATGTTTTTATTTCCCCAAACCACCCTATGCATGTACACGATGGCAAGTAACATTGTATCAATGTTAAGATTTTAAAATGTGTGCTTTGTTAACGTAATATATCTAAAATGACCGATAACTCGGAATTTTCAATGTGAACCTGTCGACGAAGAGTCCCCCTTGGGATTAACTGCCGCCGTAACACATGAGGATCGATATCTTGTTTTAACAATGGGTTTCGGTGAATATGAGCGAAAATCGATGACGGTTAACTCTATCACAACAAAGATGTCCACATATCTCTAAATATAGTTTTCATTGATTATTTTTATCATTACCGAATTTACTATAATTAACCCTTAGAATGTAAACGTTTAAGAATAAATATAACAATTAATGCATCTAACATGCAATATATGTTTCTATATGGTCTAAAAGAAAACATATTTGAAGTAAAGTGAACAAGTACATACCTTGAGGAACAGCTAGTCTAAAGACGATGTTCCCACTGCATCGCGTGCTCCTTTATGGAAGTCATTAAATCATATTTTTTTTCACTCAGTAGCCAAAAAACACGTGCAAATGATGACAAGTATTCGCTTTCGATTCAAAGAAGCAGACGAACAACGAGACATTAGGCGGATACGGAAATCTGATTCCCGCCAGTTGCAGAGTGTTTGTTGTAGACTAGTGGTGAAAATGGCGGCCTCAATCAATAATTTGATAATCCGAACAAATCTGTTGTAGACTGACTCTCTACTCGACATATTTTTATCGAAGTTAATCATGTACATATGCACTGAACTAATCGGGCTGTGCATTCTAGTAAACATTTTAGCTACTGATAGCTTCAAGGGAATTATAATAACAATCATTTAACCTTTTTGTTTGCCTGGGACTGGGGCATAATGTCCTGTCTGTCCTTCTCTGTTTTGTATTTTCTTTGATTTTTATACAGTAATGGTGCAATTTTAATCTTCAAACGTACTTATTCGAAAGATCTAGTGTTTGCTAGCGCGTCTTTCATAAACGAAAATTAAAATATAGTCATGTACTTATTTTAATTTTCAAATAAAAATCAGTTAATGACAATAGCTACCCCATAAGAATCGCAAAACCTTGTAAATGGTAGGCCCGGGTTCGATGTTCGATCAACGAGCTCCGTGTCAAAGACGAAAACGCTAACACTTGGTTAAAATTTTCAAAAGGTCTCGATTGGGAGTTTCCATCGCGTAATATTTCGCGCATGAAGTGTATTTACCGTTTAAATGCATCCTTTCACTTTATGGAATGTTGTTAAATGAAATTAAGATATATTAGGTTGAAAATTTTAACTACAATTTTATATAACTGTTTTTTTAAAACGAATTTTCAACCGATAGGTAGATTGACGTCGTAAAAATGTTTTTGACGTTGTAATAGTTTGATATGATGGCGTGAAGTTCGTAAAGACTGGGTAACGTACTACAAATGTTATAAAAGGGAAAGTAATCAATATATTATGCTATTGAAATTTAAAACATAGAAATTTGAGAACCTCTCCACCACTTTTATAATTTTTTTTAAAATATAAATCCTTTGTATCCGTCATATTTTGTAATACTGTATTTAAAAAAAGGAAAATCATTAATTTTTGGCATTTTGAGATGCCCCCCTCTAGAAACAAGACGGTAGAATTTTGTGTTTCTGACATAATGTAGTATTACTCGTCATATATTATAGTTTTAGCAAAAAATCTATTGTAGTATTTGTATGATTTGCTTTTAAACTGCAAAAAAAAAAAATCGTACTTTCCTAAATAATCCTATAGTAAATGTACCAGTATTTTGAAACGGTCCCTTAAAATACCTGGAAAGAAGATTTTCCCCAAACTTTGCATGTACACTGACGTCATTGTAAGTTATATATAGTGAAAAGAGTTTTTCTATCGTAGCTTTCACACAATAAAACCCCAGTCGGCTTCCTTAAACGACATCTCTATATCTCCAAAGAAATTTTAAGTATATCAAGGAAATATTGTTCACGTCACAACTTGTCAACGTTAGAAATTTCTGAGGAACTAACAAAATTGTTTAACAAAATCTAACATATCTCTTTGAAAGTTTCGAGAAGCCATTTAAAATTTAAGTATATCACCCATTCGTTTTGCCAATTTATATTTTATAATCAGCAGCAAATACTAAACTACATGTAGCTTCAAATTTTTATTAAGGGTGTTCTCTTACGTTATGGTGTATTCAAATACAGTTCAAGTAATTACAAATATTTTATCATGTTTATTCAGCAGCTCCTCTTTATTTGTTGCCAGACCAACCTTCTCCATGGCTTGCTTTTTCTGCTGCCGAATCAGAGTTACCTCTCTTTATCTGTAATCGTCATCTGCTCTTTGCATTCTTCCTAAATCCTTTGACTTGGACCAGACAAGAGGCCAATTACTCATCACAGATTCAATTAATATGCATATTTGAGAATCTAGATCTTTTAATTTTTTATATGATTCAATTTTGGTTGTAAGGAATCATTTGATTGGATTAAAAATTAGTTTATATTGTATAACTTGTGTTGCCTACATCACTCACAATGACTTACGTAAATGAAATTTTAAGGGTTGAATCTACCGAAATTTTCTAGTATAACCTGGATAGCAATTTTAGAAATTCATTCCTTATATTTTAAAGCGAAAATTCAACAGTACCTGTAGTTAGAAAAGACTTATTTATAATTATTAAATATTCAATTTCTAATTGCTTTTCAGTCTTCCTTTGCTTTAAGTCTGTGACATAAATACTTTTTACTTCTTAGAAAATAAAATAATTGTACAGATATTGATTATTATGGGTCTTGCATATTGTTGTATGAAATTGGGTCGTCTCCTAAAAAAAGCAATTTATCATTGAATCTCTCCCTTAACACTTGCAAGTTCAACCTAATTTAAAAAAATATTTTCCCATAAGTGACATTGGAATAAGATTGTAGTACCTCAACTTAAGAGCTTATTGAATAAAATTTAATGTATCATAAAATCTTTTCACACTGCAACCCAGACACACTGTGAATATATTTTAGCCCCACCTCTCTAGTGAATAGTCTGGATGTCTGGATCTCGACAATAGGTTTAAACAATTGCTGTATTGGGTGACATATTTCAAATGATTCTTGAATTTGAATCTCGGAAGTGTGCAAATACTGACACTTCAATTTAGATTTTAAGAGGTTGAACCATAAAACATGAATTTGCTAGGAATACAGTATAACAATCAGTTTATCTTCTCTGAGTCGCCCGCGTGGCGTTTGCTCTACAGCGACTGTAGGGAGTTGATCCTTACGTCGAAGGATCGATTCCCATTGCGAAACGTAAAGACCGGTCCTTCAAAGGTTCCGTGTTTCACCCAATGGCACAAAACAATCCTTCACTGCTCAATGGCCCCATGTAGGTCAAATTAACAGCCCTCCACCGACATGTAGTGGCGACTTCATCGACTTCTACAGATTTTGTTTGATTTCAACATTTTCATCATGAGATTTTACCAAAATCAACAGCTTAAAAACTTACGACTTTTTCAATACACAACCATACCCCACGATAAATTGAAGTTCCAGGCTTTTTTATATCATTGACAGCTGCTTTTTCAATAACAAGAGGCCCACGGGCCTTATAGGTCACCTGAGTATTGTGCAACAACTTTCAAATTATTAAATTTGGTTCCTGTTTTAAACCAGAGGCCATGAAATTCGCAATTCACAATATTGAAAGTGGCACCATTGCTTATCATAATTATAGACTTAGCATGCTTACTCTATACTTAATACCAAAAGGTAGATCAGAGTAACATAGAGAAAATGCACTTCTGCTTTATAACTAGTTGTGCACATCATCCCAAAGGAACCCCTGACCTTGGGGCCATATATTTCAAAATTTTGCAAATTTTATCATAAAATGGTTGATTAATACCTAAGAGCAGATTTCAAAGCATTAATTTTATTTTCAGACTATGTACCACCACCCCACCCCCCAACCCAGGAAGGGGGGGGGGCATAAAAAAATAACCATTTTGCTAGATGCACCTTTCTTCATCATAAATATATATTCTTAGATCATTGGCATAAAACCCAGGAGCAAAGAAGAAGATTTTCAAAGAATTAATGCATTTTCACTATATGATCAATTAACACCAGAATCTGGGGCCACAAAATTCACAATTTTGGAAGAGGCACTCTTGCTCATCATAACTATGTACTTAGTTAGTTTATTTAATACCCAGAATCAGAGGAGAAGATTTTCAAAGAATTAATGCATTTTCACTATATCAATAGTGCCCCGCCCTAACACCAGAACCCATAACCCTGGGGCCACAAAATTCACAATTTTGGAACAGGCACTCTTGCTCATCATAACTATGTACTTAGTTTCAGAGGAGAGGATTTTCAAAGAATAAATGCATTTTCACTATATAACCAATAGTGCCCCTCCCTAACACCAGAACCCCTGACCCTGGGGCCACAAAATCACAATTTTGGAAGAGGCACTCTTGCTCATCTTAAAATACTTAGTTAGTTTACTTAATACCCAGGAGCAGAGAAGAAGACTTTTTCAATACACTATATAACTATATAGACCCGCCCTACCAATTTTGGAACCACTTGCTCATCATAAATTAGAAGTTCAAAGAATAAAGTATTTTCACTATATAACCAATAGTGCCCCGCCCTTTCACAATTTTGGAAGAGGCACTCTTGCTCATCATCTATGTACTTAGTTGTTTTTAATACCCAGGAGCAGAGAAGAAGATTTTCAAAGAAATCATGCATTTTCACTATATAATCTATATAGCCCCGCCCTAGCACTAGAACCCCTGACCCTGGGGCCGTGAATTTCACAATTTTGGTAGAGGACTCAATGCTCATTACATTCATGCCAACAGTTTGCCTGCTTGATGTCCAGGAGTAAAGAAGAAGATTTTTAAAGATTACAATAATTTTAGTGGTTTTGGCCCCACCCCTCAGGCCCCAGGGGGGGTGGGGACCATAAAATTCACAATTTTTGTTCCCCTTCACCCATAGATGCTGTATACCAAATTTGGTTGAAATTGGTTCAGTGGTTACAGAGAAGAAGCTGAAAATGTTCAAATGTTAACACACGACGCACGACACACGACGACGGACGAAAACGGATAGCAATAGGTCACCTGAGTTACTCAGGTGACCTAAAAATGGAACTCGTAAATATACTTACCTTGTCATTGCTCATTTGCAAAATTATTCAAAAAATATTCTGATTGTACACACAAGTACTCTGAAGTTGACATAAAAGAGATGCTTGAGTTTCTAATTGACAATATCTAAATTGTTTTTGGAGACCAGGTCTTCCAACAATCTATTGGATTCCCATGGGTACCAATTGCGCCTCGTTATTAGCAGACCTATTTTTGAAGTCATATGAAGCAGAATTTGTCCAAAGTCCTATGCGTGAAAAGAAGAAAACTCTTGCTGTGGCCTCCAACTCAACATTTAGGTACCGTATATCGACGACGTTTTGTCAGTTAACAATTATGGTAATTTCCATTCTTATGTCAATACGACATATCCTGGTGAACTTGAGATAAAACATACCAGAGTCTGACATATCTATTTCATATTTGTATATTTTACTTGAAAAAGACGTTAATGCTAACCTGACAACCAAGCTCTATGATAAAAGTGATTACTTTAACTTTTTTTTTATCGTCAACTTCCCTTACTTATGCAGCAATATACCTTTATCACCTATATAAGGAGTTTATATAATTGAATATCAATTAATTCGATAGGAAAGAGTATGCTCTACGTATGAACATAAAACGTGGTAATTTATTGACAAACAAGCTGATGAAACAAGAATATCAGCAGTCTCGTTTAAAGTCATCATTCCATAACTTCTATGGTCGATACAATGACTAATGTCAGCCAAAACAATTTATCATTGAGTCAAATGACGTTTTCATACTAATTGTTAGGCCATTATTTAAATATTGAAGTGACGACGGATTTTTCCGTTATTTCCCGATCATGACAAGGAGCACACGGCGTGTGTGGCCGGTCGCCAGGGAATGCTCACTCCTCCATGACACCTTATCCCACCTCTGATGTTTTGGTGGTCCGTGTTTGCTCTGCTCCCATTTTCTATTGTTTCATGAACTTTTGATTTAGAACACTGTTCGTTATCTCCATATGTTTCATTCCAAAAGCTTATTGCACATCAACAGGACAATACCACTACTTGTAATTATATTCCAAAATATAAATATAGGCTCCTGCGAAAAAATGTAAGAAGAGAGTAAGGAACTGGGTTTGGGTGGGAAAAAACTTTTCAGCAACATTTGAAATCCAGGAAGAAAATAAAATTTCCAGAATTTTTTGCACATGTTACAGGCCCGCCAATCTTGTTCTTAAAGATGAGTTTGTTCGAGTACGTGCAGGTATATAATGAAAAAAAAACGGTGGTATTTTATTCCTTACTGTAAAGGGTTATTATGTTTTAAAAAGGTTTTCAAATATGATTTTAAAAAGTCCTTCCAGCATCTGGAAAACCAAAACAACGATTATCAGAATTGTAACTTTCGGTCATTTGGGCAATGGGATGATGACCCAAGATTATAAGTACCACTGATTGAAATATACCCAATTACCTTATATACTGTTAACCGCTGAATTAGTCATGTTTTGATTAAATTGATTCAGGGATATGTCATTAACTAAATTGATTACCAGTGTTATGAATGGGAAAAAGTACTAGAAACCGTTTTTAAAAATGAATAATATAAAATTTCGAAAAATACCACAGAAATACGAAAAAGTATATTTCGACATTGGCCATGAATTGTTTTTATCTTTGACAGAATCTTGATAACCATTAAGTCTATGTTTTGTTCCAGGAAGGAAATAATCCTTCTTCCTTAATATGAGAAATAGCGAATGGTTTGATTATATACGAAAATCAATATCATATTATGAGTAATGGTCATTCATATTTGGCGATAAGAAATACAGTTTCCTGTCAAATATATGAATAGCATATTGGTCTGTTAAATTCACTTGATACTTTGATAATATGCGCAGATTTTGTTTACATTTACACACTTTTGGTAACTTGGCTCTATAATCAATCCCGTCTTTTAAAACAAAATTTGGATATTTACAAGAAATGCCAATACCAGGCTGCAGAATTAACAAAATGACTGCCAAAGGCAAATGTATGCCAAAAACGAATTCTTCCTCACAACGATAAAGGCAATAAAGTGAAAGTGGGGAAAACAATGGCGAGCTTTCACTTCTCAATATAATCTACAATGTATGTTTAATTCATGTACTACATGTACATGAATAGCTACTTGATTATCGCCTACTCAAATTATAACTTAAAGCACGAGTCAACAACATGTTGCAAGGGTCCATTTTGCAGGTCTTTAAAAGGTATGTTCATCTTATATCAATATACATGTAATTGCTTGTAACCTTTTATCCCTTTGGAAAAAATGCCTTCCTATATTTTACTTTCAAAAACCATTACTATTTTAATTTAGTTACTTGTGTGCCAACTTATTTTGAAATCAAACTAAAACTGTAGAAGGAGTAGGGTTTTAAAGGAATTTCACAGAAAATTCTATTTTTAGTAACCATGGCAACACCATTCATTGAAATCAAAAACTTATGAAATATTCTTTGTATCTCATGTAATATGTGTGCCAAGTTAAATTGAAATCAGAAAAACTGTAGAAATAGCGTTTCAAAGGAATTTCACAGAAAATTCTATTTTTATAACCATGGCAACACCGTTCATTGAAATCAAAAAAATTTATATGGATCTTACTGTAGGACTTGTGTATTAAATTGAAATCAGCGAAAACTGTAAAAAAAGTTTTAAATAATTTCAAATCTATTTTTAGTAACCATGGCAACACCGTTCACCGAAATCAAAAACCGATGCACTATTCTATGTATCTTAGTGTAGTCTACTTGTGTGCCAAGTTATATTGAAATCAGACCAAAACAGTAGAAGGAGTAGCGTTTTAAAGGAATTTCACAGAAAATTCTATTTTTGTAACTATGGCAACACCGGAAATCAAAAACATGTATGTCAATATGCATATAAAGATTTGATTGCTTATTCTTTATTTGTGTTCCAAGTTATATTGAAATCAAAACTGTAGAAATATTTAAGGAATCACACAGAAAATTGATGATTTTTATAACCATGGCAACAATTTTTCGAAATCAAAAACATGCACTATTCTATCATCTTACTGTAAAAAAAAAAGTTATATTGAAATCAGACGAAAAAAAAAGTAGTGTTTTAAAGGAATTTCACAGAGAATTCTATTTTTAGTAACCATGGCAACACCGTTCACCAAAATCAAAAACCACTACTATTCTATGTATCTAGCTTTACACTTGTGTGAAGTTATATTGAAATCAGACCAAAACTGTAGAAAGTCGTTTTAAAGGAATTTCACAGTATATATTCTATTTTTTAACCATGGCAACACCGTTCATTGAAATCAAAAATTTTACACAATCCATGGTGTTTGTAATCTTTGTGTGCCTTTATTGAAACAGTTCCAAAACTGTAATAAGTAGCGTTTTAAAGGAATTTCACAGAAAATTCTATTTTTATAACCATGGCAACACCGTTCTCCGAAATCAAAAACCCCTGCGCTAAAAATAGCGACATGTAATACTTGTGTGCCAAGTTATATTGAAATAAAACAAAACAGTAGAAGGAGTAGCGTTTTAAAGGAATTTCACAGAAAATTCTATTTTTAGTAACTATGGCAACACCGTTTTCGTAGTCAAAAACCGATGCACTATTCTATGTATCTTAGTGTAATACTTGTGTTCCAAGTTATATTGAAACACACAAACTGTAGAAATAGCGTATAAATTTCACAGAAAATTCTATTTTTAGTAACCATGGCAACACCGTTCATCGAAATAAAAATCGATGCACTATTCTATGTTCTTAGTGTAGTCTACTTGTGTGCCAAGTAATATTGAAAATTTAAAATTGTAGGAGGAGTGCGTTTTGAAATATTGTTTACAGACAGTGGAAAGACAGTGTTTTAACAGAAGACAGAATTTGCTAATTTATGACCTTGACCTTTGACCTATATTTTATTCAAACCAATTACAAATTTATTAGGATTGCATGTATGCGTGTTTTCTCAGGCAAAATGCATTTTAGACATGGGATAATTTGTTGTTTAAATTAGAAATATCGATTCATTAATATGCTTACCGAATACAGAAATATGAGAATGTTGCATTTATATCGATAGTTCTTTATAAAATTCATATGGACCGAGGAGGACATGATATCAAATTTATTTCTGCCTGAAAAAAGTTATATAATCTCAAATCAGTCTGGTATCCCTGAAAGCTTACACCATAGAAAAAAAAATAGGATGTAATATGGAATGTTTTTGTTATAAACATGCAACTGAACGAAAGAACAGCGCCGCTGGTAGGTTGACGTGGACGGTGTTTCACTGGTGATCTCGAAATTCGCACAGAGCATACCATTTCTGCTTTTATCTGTCTTTGGCTTGTATACCTATTTTACCACAGCAGAGTCACAAATCAATTATAATTTTTTGATAGTACACTCAACAACTGTATATACGGAATAGGAACTTTGCATAAAGTATTAGTAGGTATTGTACCTCTATAAGTAGTATCAGGCTCGAGGCTGAAAAATGTTTTAATAGGTCTGGTTTGAACAGATGTACAGCTGTATGTGTATAATATACTTGCTCAGAAAAAAAACAAAAAAAACAAAAATTACTCGGTTTCAAAAGGCATTTAATAGACAATACTTAAAAATACATATTTTAAAACGTTCAAAGCGTTTATATATATATATATATACCCAGTATTTAACACTTTGAAAATATATTATATATGGCACAAAATGGTAATTGTTTATCGTCATTATCAGAACGAGGCCCGTTTTGTTTTTTGCCAATGGAGAAATGAATCTGTTTCTTCCGACATTTCGTCTTCTTTAGCAATACTGAATGACGTTACGTGATTAATGTTGGGATTGGAGTTATGTATTTTTCCATTGTTTGGGGACCTCCACTTGTAACAGGAACAAGAGCAAACTGATATCGCGTCTTGGTATTCGGGAGTTTCGTTCGCATTTGAAACGACTCCACCATTTCCGGTGATTACGTCACCATTCAATCGCACGGCATTCCGCGCAGCTTCCGCTGCCTCCATCTCATCTCTCTTTTCGTCTTCGCTGTTTAAAGTCAAACAACGAAGCACCAAGAGATTCATGGCAGCAGATATCACTGTCAATCCAATTAGAATAAAAAGGAGGACGAACAATACATAACCTGGTCTCGTTTGGAGAATGTTTTCCTTCTGCATAGCTACGTAATCACCAAAGCCAATCGTAGTCAGCGTGATGAAGCAATAGTAGACAGAGTTGATGATTGGCCAGTTCTCCAGTTCAGAGAACAACAGCGACCCCGTCGTCAGGATTAGTGTAGACAAACTTAAGGTTATGAACAAAACGTCGGTTTGAGAAACTTCAGCCTTCTTGAACCTGAAGCATTTTTTGATATTTTTCAAAAGGTAGGTCACAAATGTGTTTAATCTTTCACCAACACTTTGAAACATGATCATGCAAAGCGGGATTCCAGCCAGTGCGTAGAGCATACAGAATATTTTTCCGAACACAGTTTTTGGTGTGCTGTGGCCATAACCTGTAAAAGACGAAAATGCATCAAAAACTTTTAAGAACATTTTCTGTTGAAATTACGGATTCATAACTACATGTACTTTGACAAATGAGCCAAAATATTTTCACTCAACATGTTATACTTTTTAGAACAATGAATAAACACATGTTATACTTTTTAGAACAATGAATAAAGGTGGCAAAAACCTATATTGAATTTGTCTTCAAGGTGATATCTTTCTAAATTGATTGAAATTAAATGTAAGACTACTATTAATAGTGACCATTAAATGGCAATCTGATACTGCAATATACTTAGCCTCCGATAAACGTATCTGAGATATGTTTTGAAAATCTGTTGCATGTTTTATAGGTTATGCAGTACAAATGGTTTTATATATAATTTTAATACTTTAAAAGGACTGCACACTCAGTAATATTGTACGATATTTATGGATGCGCAGCCTAGTATATCTGGAACATCTAATAAGTATGTCAGTGAGGAAAACTAAATAGTCATAATGTTAGATTAGGTACATCATCTAAGTTACATCTTCTTATGATTATATACTTGGTAAAAGAGCAACTGGTGTCATGATCCAAGAGATATAGAATGTCCGAACAATTATCACAGAACCTGGAGAAAATTCCTGGAAGGCGTATCAACGTGTAACTGCTGACGTCAAATCGTGATATTAATTAAGATATTAAGCCATTACTGCTCATTTAACTGTGGGATGGGGATCTTGGAGAAGTTCATCCGATGGCCAGAGATGACAACTTTCTGGTATAATAGTACCAAGCTGTCTGTGAAGGCAGACATTAGTGTCAGAATTACAAATCCTTTATCTTCAGACAGCCGTACAAACAGAATACATTTATTGGTTAACCATATATTGTTCACTAATTAGTTTGAAAAATATGTAATACATGCGTATTTTGTAATTTAATCATATTATTTCCCTTTTTGGTTTGCTTGTAAGCCCTACTGATCTAAGACCAGGAGAGCTTAATATGCGACAGAAAGGTGTCCATCGTCCACCCTTCTTTCGAATTCCCACTGCGGGACGTGAAGACCGGTCGTTCTGATGAGACCGTCTAAATTGAGATCCCTTGTTACAGTGGATGCTGGCACGAAAAAGTTCCCTGACTGCTCAGGTGCTGGCACGAAAAAGATCCTGGGTGATCAATGGCTCTGAGTGCCGAGTATAGGTCTAAATTTGCCGCCCTCTACCAGCCAGTGGTACTTCCTCCGGAAAGGTGAGTAAAACATTCTCGAGAGGGACATCAAACAACAAAACAATATAACTTGCCATTCAATGGACAACATTAGGATATGAAGTTGTTTTCATTGGTTTTTGAATTTTTGCTAACGGCGCTATCATATTATCATTGACTAAAAATAGTTATGTCTGTGAATTATTTTGAAAACGATACTCCTTGCACAGTTTTAATCTGATTTCAAAAAAAAAAATTGTACACAAGTAGACTGAAATACATCATGTTTAAATTTCAACTTAAGATTAACAATTTTTCAACTGTAAATAAATAGAGAAATTTCTGTGATTTTTTCTTTACTTTACTAATACTCCGATGTTTTGAATGTAATAAAATCTTGACACTCTAAGATGTATAACTTTTTTTCGGCTTTTGATTTTTTAAGGTGCTGCCTGGTTTATGAAATAAAAATTTCTGAGAAATACCTTCAAATCGCTACTACTACAGTATTTGTCTGATTTAATATAACTTGGCACATAATTTGACTACACTTTGTCCACGTGTTACTTTTGTCATTTGTTACACATGTATGTACAAACTAGTAGATCTACAAACTTGTTTAAAATACTGTTATAAATAAATACATCTGTTTTAATAATGCATGACTGTTTAAGTGAATTTTGAGAGAGTACTGAATTTCTGGGTGACAAATGCAATTGTTTGCAATAATTTGAAATAATAATACACTTCTAATTGTGTAACGTGCAATTTTTACCTATGAGGGATACAACTAAAAGAGAAAAATACAGCGCTCCTGAGAATTTCCATTGGACCCCGGCTTTGTAAGGTTTGGACTTCAAAACATTTATTCTGATGTCCTCGAACACTTTGTCACTGATGTTAAATTTTTCAATGAAGTTCCTCTCTTCCTGGAGTAGTTTGTTCTTCAGTTTGATTTCATTTTCTGATTCCAGGGCATCAAATACAGCGGCCCCGATCAGAAGGTAAGTAAAGGTGCAGACGATAAGTGAAAGCGTCCTCACATTCTGTCGCTTCATGGCTGCAAAAATGGAGGTAAGAATTCAAAACGTAACAATTAGTGTCATATCAAGTGTTCCATAAACGGTCAAAACATTGTAACATCTGGTGTCATATCAAATATTTCATAAAACCAATCCTAAATCAGTTTAATTTTGGGAGAAAGGTCTATTTCCATAATGAATTTAAAAAAAAAAAAAGATTTTTATTATCTTTTAATGCTTTTGGTATCCTTCAACTGGTTTTAAACCTATTGTGACAGCAAATTCTAAATTAACAGAAACTTTGGTGCTCCAAATCACGAGTACTCTGCGATAAAAGTGCAAAATACTGAATTGTGTACTTCTGAGACATGTTTATTTTTCATCTGCACTTTTGGACAATAGTTCTTCACAAGGTTTCAAAGACTTTTTTTTTTAGATTTCCTATTACATTTTTTCGTCCCAGAAGAAATTCGGTTTATGTCTGTTCGCGTAATCCACTATAAAGAACATGTACAAATGTCGGGCGCACGCTTTGATCTCGGGATGTCCATGATCGATTTGTAAATAATAAGTTGTTTTCGCCCAATTCCTTGGAATCTATCGCTGTGTTCTTGAGGAAGACATTGATAGGCTTTGGAAACATGTCATGATAAAGAAATAGCAAGAGTACAGACGATCTCAAAGAGAGGCTCTACAGATTCTCCTGAAGTGCTTTATCATAAGGAAAGTTTTGTAAACATCATGATTTAGTTTTACTGCTAATAAGTAAAACATGTAACGGCATATCATTTCAAGCACTTCTCACAGTTAAAATCCGTATATTCTGTATTTCCTTAACGATAGATCAGACAACTTTCTGATGTTAGAATGGACATCTTAGTACTTTCGGGTCACCCTCATTACTTTGTCGACATAAACAATCGACGAAAAGTGTGAAGAAACATTTTGACATCGTTATTATTGCGCCAACATCATTTAATGGCGGGAAGATTGTCAACATATCGAACATTTCCAAATATTTTATTACTCCTAAAGTGCAATATCACTACGAAACCATAAATACGGGAAGTGAGTAAAATTCGAATTTTTATGCACTCTGCTTACTGACAATAATCGATAGGCTAATGTAAATCATTTTATTTTCACAAAATGATAAAATACATTCAAATATTTTCTTTCCTAAGCATCATTTTTTTGGTCTATGCTAGTTTGTGCCTTCGCTTTTAATACTGGTCTTAAACAACTGGATCTGGCACGGAAAAAAAATTAAAGCTTGTGGATTTATTGTTTAGTATTTATTCCAAAAATATTTTTTTTAATTATTGCTTGGAACGACTGAGATTTTTCTTACCCTAATTTACTGTTTAACCTCTAATTATATATTTCTTCATCAAAGGTTATAGTGCATGTGATATTCATGTACATGTAGAAAAAAAAATTAAAAATCATTAAAGATTGAATCTTAATCTTTTTTCCCCCGAAAATATCATATTTATCTGTTACTATACCTTTCCATTCATTAAAGAAATTTTTTCATGATACTAAATTTATATATAATTTCGAAATTTAACGGCTTCCTGTATATATTGTTGTGTATATAGGTTATCTTAACCAAACCAAGACTTGCACTTTATTACACGTGTATAAGTGAAATTCAATGACCTGTTACAAAATTATTTTTCAATGTAACATACTCATTATAACATGAAAATTTGCCACCATAATATCAAAACTTTAAGATTACATAATATGCTGATTCATCTTTACATACGTACCATATCTATAACTTTATATTTTGTAGTTTTAAAAGGGATTGATTGTATGTTGTTTAACGTCCCTCTCGAGAATTTTTCGCTCATATGGAGACGCCTACACTTCCTGGTGGAGAGCTACAAATTTTGTTCTGCACTCGGCACTCCTTGAGCAGTGAGGGATCTTTTTCGTGCCAGCACCTACAGTGACACGGAACCTCGGTTTATACGGTCTCATTCGAAGGACAGGTCTCCACGTCCCACGGTGGGATTCGAACCCGCGACGTAAGGATCAACTCCTTACTTCGCGACTCTATAAAGCAGACGCTCTAACAACTGCGCAACGCGGGCGACGTTTTAAAAAGGAAGAAAAACACAAATTGATTACTTAGAGAATCATTTCAATTATGTCACAAAAATTCCAAAATATATACTATTATCTAATTTTATAATTTGGAAGTCCTCGAGGGGTATAATTTTCCTTCGCCTTGTCCTTAATACTGGTAAAGACATAATCAAGCAAATTAAATGCGATATTGGAATAGCAATACACATAAAAAGAGATGAAGAGGAAACGGGTTTTAGATTCATTGTGAAGAGTAGGACAAGCGCTTTTATCACTCTTCTTGTGGGATATTGATTAAATATATTGTGTTCTGTTTTTGTACTCTACTCTAATATTGTTACACTTTAATCAGTATTTTCGGAAATTGAAATAGAATCAATGTTTCCATTTACCTCAAGTATTTTGTTTTTGAGATGTTAACGCCTATGAGCCGGAACGCTCACTTGAATTGCAATGATTTTTTTTTTCTCCTGTTAATTTTGGTTTTCAATCAGTCAATACGCTCTATGTTAAAAATCTGTTTTAGTTTTCCAAACTGTAGTCTTGTATTTTTGTTTAATCTAAAAGTCAGTTTATTACCGTAGTTACTTTTGGATACAAAGTGAAGCTTTTTTCCAAGAAAAGAAATACATTTCCTAAACATTCTTATATAACACTTTCCCATTCTTCTATCATATACTAACTTGGTTACTTGGTGGCTTTACACACTATTTTAAATATTAACTTTTAAATTTTTATGTTTTTAGAGAATCTGGCCACTTGAGATATAATGTTATCTTGGTAATAATTACATAAACAATGTAGAAAACTAGCTTAAACCACTTCCAAAAGATTTAGTACTTAATGAACCTGATTAAGTGTGACACGAACAGTGGACCGCCATATCTATAGGTCTCAAAAAATACCATCAGAAGAACAAGGATATTTTGGTTAACCATGATTCTGTCATAGACGATGTACCAGAGATAGTATTGTTATTGACATAACAGAATTCAGTTAGGCGGAAGATATTTTTTTATATCAATTTTAAGCCATTTTCTTTTCAGTCTCGCCCGCGCGGCGCAGTGGTTAGAGCGTCAGCTATAGAGTCACGAAGTAAGGAGTCGATCCTTACGACGCGGGTTCGAATTCCACTGTGGGACGTGGAGACTGGTCCTTCGGATGAGACCGTATTACCAAGGTCCCATGTTTGCAGTAAGTGCTGGCACGAAAAAGATCAATCATTGCTCAATGGCCCTGAGTGTGGAATATATGACAAAATTTGTAGCTCTCCACTAGTAAGTGGTGGCGTCTCCATATAAGTGAAAAATTCTCGAGAGGGACGTTAAACAACATAATCAATCAACCATTTCCTTTTAAATGAATGTATATAAAATGCCCTGGAATCGCACTTAACTACCAGAAAAAACGGCAATTTTATGGGGGGTTTTCTCCAAACATAACAAATATGAAATAGAGGACTGCTTTGTATGGAATCCGGATAGGGCCACGCAGTTCACTATCGCATCATCGCACCATCAGGTTTAACAAATATGATGACGATGAAGCGATGGTGCGATAACGATGAAGCGATGGTTGTGTAAATTAAAAAATAATTTTTTTTATTTATAGATTAAAGTGGGATGATGGATAGGAAAGATTAAGCTTTTGTAAATTAAAAAATAATTTTTTTTATTTATAGATTAAAGTGGGGGGAAAGTAATTGAATTATAATGTTATATATCGATCAACTTGGTTATATGGACCTCAAATATCGCTTCCTTTACAACAGAATTTCGTTATATCAGCATAAGGGATACAGTGGAAAGCAGTATCATTTTAGGCGATTCTTTTTTTTTAAAATGAGTTTTACTGTATTGTAGGTGTTGAATGATTTTGGAGTTATTGTCATTCAGTGAGTCAACGTTAGTATCAGAAAAAAAAATTACTTGAAATTCACAATATTGATTGTGCTAAGTTCTCAGTTCATGTTATTTATTCCACTTGATAAATTCTGTGCCATCGCTTTTTTGTCTGATTCGTTAAGTAGCCGTTAATAAAGATAGACATTTCCCCGGAAGAGCAGCGCCCTGTCCAAAGATTAACACTGACTCCGATAAAAAGGTATGTCATGGAATCAATAACTGATAAGATATTTCGCGTCTTATCCACACTTAGTTAAAATATCACAATTGTCAAATACTGTAATCATTTGTTAATCGATTCATGAGCCTTTAAGGTATTATCTTTTTTCACTTTTCTGGAATCTGTATAGACTTTTTTTTATCTTTTTTTCACATACAATAATCTGAGTCGTCCAGTGGAGTATGTTGGGCAGAGAGAGCTGCATTGAAAAGTTCCAGATGCTGGATACAGGGCCAGAAATACAATATTTTAAAATTATTTTATGTTTAGGCATTAATACTCCTTGCCATGGGAACCTCGTGGTTGTCATGCTTATTAACTCCCGCCATTTTTATTAGTTTTAGTGCAGATTTTATTAGCGGCTGACCTTGTCAATAAAGAGAAAAACATGTCGACTTATTCTGAAAACAAGTCAAGTAATTTGACAGGAGAATTTACATCAAAAATACTCTACTCAGTTATAAGTTTTATGTAAATCGAAAAAGTCATTGTCTTAAGGTACTTAGCTGATACCGTTCAATTTTCGAACTGTTGGTGAATGACCTTTCTTATAACAGGCATTTCATATTAATCTTTTTATAAGGTCTTTATCTGAATAAACGCTAGTTTTCCGTGCTTACTTTGAATTTTCCAGGCTTTCGATCTTAAACATCAAACAACAAGATCAAATTCATTTTTCGTCCTTTCCCTGAACTTATACAAAACTAAATCAAAGTAGCGATAGATTTTAGCAATGGAAGCCACTCTTACAGATAATTTTTTTGGTTGGTTTACGTGCTTACTTTGAATTTTCATGCTTTCGATCTTAAACATGAAACAACAAGATCAGAATTTATAATTATTCTTGTCCTTTTCCTGAACCTATTCCAGACATAAATCAAAGTGGCGAGGTAGATTTTTGCTTGCAATGGAAACCACTCTTACAAATAAATAGTTTCTTCAATTATAATTTTCGTTTGAGAATAAATGAATTTTATGTGTACACGGAAGTTTATTTTGAAATTTGATTTTTGTTATCTCGTCTTGGATACACTAGGGACATGTCTTTTGAGATAATACAAACGCTAAATAAAGCAACAAAAATAAAAAAATCTATATAAAATAAACATTTGTAGTAACCCTCAAAGAACTACAATAAAAATTCGATTCTAAAGCGATTCCCCTAGTGTTAAGATTCTGACAAAATCGGACCGTGGTATTAGGATTGAAAAACTCACTGTCAGTGTCTTATCATTTATATTGATAGTTTTAAAATAATTTTTTCATCAGAATATAAACGTGATTCCCCCCCCCCCGGTCAATTGAGTTCGAGATAATGTGGTTTGCATGTATATAATTTACAAAATTCTAAAAATAATAATAATAAATAATAATAAAATTAGTGATCGTTTAAATCAGTTATTGAGGATAAAATACATTACATTTCCTAGCTTACTGGTTTGGGGTATACAAAAATAATAGGTTGGTTTTGGGTTTGACCTCAGCATATCATGGGAATGAAATTTAACTTCAGTCTAACAACAAACCTTTATGATAAACATGAATGACTAACTTTTCAATCCTCAATTACCCTACTTGTGCAGCAATATACCGTTATCACCTGCATGTATTACGGGGTTTATATCAATTTCTAAACCGCGGTGAGTTATTGACAAATAAGTTTATGAAATAGGAATACCTGCAGTCTGTTTGAAATTCATCATTCCGTAAGTTCTATGGTCGATATTATGACTTTGTCAGCAAATACAGTTTATCATATAGTCAAATGCTGACTGACTTTTTTCATAATATTTTACTTGCACCTGTACCTACTGAACAGGATCACATGAGGAACTTTTTTTGCAGTTTTTTTTTTCAAAATATATTAGTTGTATCATTTAGATGTTCATGCATTGTCAACATAGTTTATTTTATTTAGTCATAAACTTCTATTTTCTGGTTAAAAGAAAAGTAAATCCATGTCAGTGCATGAAAGACAACTTACGGGTATAAATATATCTGCCTTTGTATCTGTCCCTTCCAACAATTGGAAGAGAGGCGATAAATTCTGCTTGAAAATGAATTAGTCTTTCTTAACTTCATTTAGTTTGACAGCTGAAATTATTCTTGCTTCTTCAAATAAATCTCCATAGAAATCAGAAAACGTATTAGCAATTATCCATGAATATTTTGTAAGTTTAGTACTCTCAAGCCGCCAATTACGCGACCAATTGCGACCCAGTGGGTAAAACCACGTGGCTGAAATTAACACCATTCTCGTCTAGTCTTTCAATTTCAATTTACTCATCCATAATGTAGAATATATATGCGTTAGAAAATAATTCCTTCAATTCAACATAGGATTTATGGTATTAAAACAGTTAAATATGAGGATTTTTCTTTTAACGCTAATGTAATGATATAAAACAGTTAAATAGTAATAAAGTTTTATTTCCTTGTTATTTTAGTTTTAAAAAACCCTCTTATTTATGATAATAGAGATACAAGTAATTCCTGTACACCAATTAATTTAATTATTTTTTTCTTTTATGATCAATCATTTTGCTTTTAGCCAATAATTTCAAAACGAGAATATAATTTAAAAGTTGAATCCACTCAATTTCTGTTCCAGAAATACATGAGGTATTGCTTTAATATTCCTTTAAAAACAACTTAGATCAACATATTTTTTTTTATTTCAGACAAAATCAGATTTAGTATTCACATTATTAATTTGTTAGCCTTAACATAAAAGTCACGTGACCAATCATAAATGGATAATAAATACATCAATGAAAATATCTTATCTATTGATTGGTTCTTTCTTGAGGGGAAAACTACACTGTACAAGTATTTGAAGGATGGCTAAAAATTGGTTTTCAATAAAATTAGTCAACTCTTTTTTTGATTTTGAAACTTACTGTAAATGATAAATTTAGGGCAACCAAACCGTAGAAGCAATATCTGAAACGATTGTTTTCTATGTATAATGTGTGTATATAAAACATATCCATAATTTAAAAGCATCTCTTCTTTAAACTAGCAGAAGTCTGTTCACTGTTGTCTCTAGTTATCATATTTCTGTATGTGTATGCGTCTCACTCTGTGTCTTTGCATGCAAAAATAAAATATATAACAGATGGTTTTCTTTAAATGTAAATCAAATTTAAACATTGAGTTAAAATTAAAAAAAAATTAAAAAAAATAAAAATAAAAGAGATGCCAACCAAACAACACAGTAGGAACATACAGTGATAATATTTCAATCCTTGAAAGAAAATAAAAGCTACTTTAAATATCAAAGCAAATACTGACAATACTTTTAAAAGATTTTTTCCTGTAAGGTCTTCTTTATTTTAATATAGTTATTTATAGTACTTGAGATTTTATTCGTATTGAATAAACTATATATTTTCGTTCGTGCACATTTGCACGTTCAGAGAAAATCTTATGCTACTTCGACTTCATGTAAAAATATAAATGCTTATTCATCATAGGCCATCGTGCGTTCATAAACAGATATCTGTGTGTGTACTAAACCCAAAACTCAATTTGTTTTGCATCAATATTGAAAGAAACATGTGTTCTCTGATCGTATCTTATATAGCAATGGATAAAAGAGCTGAATATTTACGTAATATTACACACTGAAGTTAAGCTTCCAGAGAGCAAAAAAAAAAAAGAATTCCGAAAATCTGAAAGGTCAAAAGTTACGAGAAAAGTTTTTACCTGTTTTGGTCTTCCCTACTTGATCTCCATGCCCTCTCGTCTCCCCATTTGTTACGGTTCCATCGGGAAAGAAAACTAATTTGAAGTGGAATCACAATCAATTAAGCGGGGAGTTAACATGAAAGTAAACTATCGGTGTTGTGCTCAGACAGTTGTGCACATGCGCGGTTGGAACAATAAAATCGCTATTGATTGTCCAGTTATATTATTCCTTGAAAGACTCAATCGCATAATAAAAGATGATAAATTCCAGAAATGTTACATGTCTTTACCCTGAACAAACACGATCGTCCAAAGAGGAAAAAATTACTGCAAGGTTCCCGCGTGGAATTAAAAAAAAAAGTATTCGGTTCAAGCAGGCGAAGTTTTTTTTCATGCATGGGGTGCGTAATTAGGATTAATTCTGTAGCTTATCTTCAGGCTGTATCTGTTGGATTCCCATGTCCCGTGGCTAGTTATTACTGTATCCTTTGAAAAGACAGAAATGATTTCCGACGTGCAGAGCCAAACACCATGTTATCTAAAATTATTTAATGTGAATCGCCTTACAAATGGAATGCAAGTGGAATACAGGGGGAAAAAATCCAATACATTTCTAATTTGAGAGGGAAATGATGCATTGTGCAAAATTAACCCTTTTCTTTCCAATGAAATGATTGCCATTAATTAGTCTACAAAACTATAATCTTTTTTATATATTTTATGACAAAATGAAATAAAAGTTAAAACGAAAAGTGCTCACATCCAGTGTTACTAAATATGATGATGAAGTTTCCAGACGATTCCTTAGAAGTTGAGCTTTAGTAGGCGACGAACTTTTTCATGGATGAATCAATAGTTGAAATTATATCTTTATTCTCTATTATAATATGACTGTTCTCGTTAGATTATGACGTCACTGCTGTGTTTTCTTGGATAAGAACAAACGCCCTTAAGACAAATAACGCAAATATGATTGGCTTAATATCTGATATTGAAATAGAGGCAGCGACCTTAAAAAGTACATAGAAGTGCATTGTTACTAGAATCTGTGGTCTCACGATTTTTATCTCCTTTTTTTCTCATTTTAAAAAAAAAAAGTCGTTATTTTTTCAGCAAGCCAGTAAATAACATTTCATGTCCAAAGGAAGCAGTTTCAGCCATATGTTTTCAGCTGAGGGCACTATCAACTACCAAAAATTCCTTGACAAGCAAAAAACAAAAACTTCACTACTGTGAAGTCACAAATTTTCGATGGGGTAATTTTTTTTATTGTTTTCAAGGTATGAAGAGACCGATAAAATCATATCCACCCCGAAATAAAAAAAGTTACGTACAAACATGATTACTTTTTATTCTTCATAAAATACGAGTATTTGGAGAAAACGAACAGTTTTGAAGCTGAAAAATCCATTAAATAATGCAAAATTGGAAAAGAGCAAACATGGACCGCCAAAACATCAGAGTTGGGACCAGGTGCCACTAAGGAGTGAGCATCCTTTGCCGAGAGGTCACACCCGCCTTGTGCTTGTCATGATCGGGCAATAACGGAAAAATTCCTCAACAATTCCATGTGTATATAATGGCATAACTATTAGTATGAAAAATGTCAGTCAGCATTTAACTTTATGATAAATTGCATTTGCTGACAAGGTCATTATGTTGACTATGAAGCTTTCAAAATGCTGACTTTGAACGAGATTTTATATGTTTTTGTTTCATCAACTTATTTGTCAATAATTTACCTCGTTTTAGAAATTGTTCATATGTAGAGTATGCTGTCGTGTTTCGAATCAACTGAGAGATATAAACCCCGTATGCAAGTGACGAAGGTATATTGCTGATTAAGTAAGAGAAGTTGGCGATTGAAAAGTTAGTCATCTCCTTTATCATAAAGCTTTGTTGTTAGATAACTATCAGTAAAATATCCCAATACGAAACATCCACGAAATCAAAATCCCACGAAACAAGTTTTTTTTTCAAACGAAAACTTGACCCCAATAAAATATTTGCATAAAAATTATAACCTTTTTTTTTTTTTTTTTTTTTAAAGTTTCCTACTTCTAGTATAAAATTTTTAACCCTCTCCCTTAATATGTCTTCGCAGATTTTAAATTTTTTCCCTAGTTTTTTTTCTAAATATATCTTCAAGACTTTAAAATGTTTTTCTGTCGACCCTATCATAGTTTTAACTAACTTTACAGTAGAAGACACCTTTGAGACAGAACTGACTCGGAAATATTGTACATAGCATGATTCAATAATTAAAAAATTGTGGCAAATCATACATTTTGTTTCCGTAATAGTACCGTTTTCCAGACAATTTACATGTATGACACCCACATCAGAATATTAACCCCTTCGTTCTTTCCTTTTAGATTCATTTTTTTTTCTTTTTCATTATATTTATCGTTAAAGTGGAAATTTGTTGTCATTTTAAAAAATTAAAAAAAGGTGAAAATAACAACAGCGATAGGATTTCATGTCAACTAGAAACAAAACGATTCTTTGAACGGGGGATAAACATGGCCTCCATGGAAATTCTAGAGGTGGGAACAGGTGCCTAGGAGGAGTAAGCATCCCCTACTGGTGACACCCGCCGTGGGCTGTAGAAATTGATCAAGTAGACGGAACTGTCCGTAGTCAAATAAGTACACAAAACACAGCCGGACAATTTGTATGAAACAAGCAAGCCAAAATGCTCCCCAGTGATTGGCTACAATTAAGTACTGATAAGGTCATCATAACGACCATGAAATGTTCGAAATGCCGAATTTAAACGAGATTATTGAAATCATACTTTTCCACTACTAGCCGCCTCGGTTTAAATTTTTTGTAAAAAACTCATTACATGCTCCTGATTGGCGAAAAATTTGGAAATCATAAACAGCATATGCAGGTGATTTTGGAATATAAAGGTCTACATAAATAAAGAAAGACGGTGGAAAAGCTGAATCACCTCATTTGTCATACAGTTTAGTACTTAGATGACCTTTGTCGTCAACAGTAAGTAAAGCAACCAAATATGAAACAGATGTTGCCGATTTTGTGGTGTCCTTTTATCAGATTCACTTGGATATGTCGAGTCGACATATAAATGGAAATAACTATTGTTTATTAATAAAACACGGTCGCTATATTTGAATGTTGAGTTTATTTCCACTGAAAGTGTGTCCATCTTCTCACGTAGGAGTTTTTGAATAAACTTTGCTTCATAAGAATAAGAAAAGGGGGGCTAAATAAAGGACACAATGCCAATAGGGATTTTAAGTTTCTTGGAAGACTTTGTCTCCGAAGACTACATAAATCCTGTCAATAAGGAACTTCAGCATACTTTTAATATCAACCTCATTGTACTCATGAGTGTGTAGAATGAAGGCGACTTAACAGTAAATTTATTGAAGAACAGTCACAAAATGTGACAAAAATAAAATTTTCTGAGGTCCGTTTTTAAAACTTTTAATTAGTCGTAAGGAATGGTCGTATAAAGTGTAGAAGACCCGTATGTTATGACGTAATTTAGACTGAAAATTTTGGCGATTTTAAATTTTCTAGAAATTCTTAATATTAGGTTTTGAGGATCAACAACTTGTGTTTCACAACTTCTAGAATGTGCTTTAACAGAGTACAATGTACCTTAACAGCAGTTCATATTTCATTAAGGAGTAAAGATAGGGCTTTCTAAAGCAAATGCTGAACCTAGAAATACCTCTTTGTAAAGGATTATTTTAGAAATTCAATATACGTAAGGAACCTCGAACTTATTTTGGTTGACTGTAATATTACATGTAAAAGTATGATACACTAAATGAGATTTTGAAGAATTTCATCATTTTTGAAAGTGAACTTCGAGTATATGTAGAATTTCAAGATGTAGTATTAAAACCAAATTCTTCGAAAATACATGTAGATTTATAATAATGGGCTATGCAAACAAAGACGATAATGTTACAAACATTATCTGCTGTAACCTTTACAAAATTACGTTCATATAGTGTCTCTTTGAGATAATATAAAGTGTTTGATTTATTAGATGAAGTAGCATATTTTACCATGCTACAAGCATAACTATACAAAATGTATCAATTCTGTATATGAAAACACATTGTATATTATTTCTTCTTTATCATAATTAAATGCAACCTTTCTGAAAAAGCCAAGATTGATATGAAAAAAAACAATATTAAAGTTTGAAAAGCCAGATTTTCTACACTGTCACACCTTAACAAAGCATTCCTTTTACCTAAGACAAACATTTCCTAAATCAGATGTTGATTTTATAATGCTTTTTTTCATCAGTCAATATATGATTATTAAAATGAACGATCGACTTTTCTTAAGTAGCCATTCCTCGTGCTTAATTAAAAACTAGGCATAGAAAAGTGGTTATTTAATAAAAATGGTAGAATTTTTGTATATTTTGTTACAGATCATCAACAAAATTACTTTGTTACAAATTTCTTTAGTTCTACATGTGTACATACAAGTACTGTAAAGTTTCTTACTGAAAGAGTGCTGGAGTTTCTCAAAAGTTGGTGACATTTTTGTAGTTTTCGAAGACAAGGTCCTCCTACAAAATGTTGTCATTTTGATGGTCATGCTCCTTCATTAGCAGACCTGATTTTATGTTCTCATAAAGAATTTATTTTTAAAAGAAACCACTTGCTGTGGCCTTCTACTCGACAGTTAGATATATCGACGACGTTGATCAACTAACAACAGTTACATGTACTTCCATTCATATTTTGTCTATATAGTCAAGTAAATTAAAAACAAATTAAAAAGGCCATATAGCCTGTCATACCGGTTTCATATATATTTGGATGTTTTCAATATGGCTAGACGATAAAGGTCATAAACATCTAAACTGAATAACAATCGATATGACCAACTTTCCTATCGACAACTTCTACTATAGTTATTTACTGTAATTTCCCACTTTCATCTGCATATGATGCTTACGTCTCCAAATTATTCAATACTCAAGAGCATACTCTGAGTACGATCAATTTTTACACTGAGGCGTCTTTTCACACATAAGTTGATGTAACTGGGATTTCAACAACTTCGTTTAAGAATTTTGTAATTTCTATAATTATTGTAATAACCTTTTTGCAAAAATAAGCTAACACTGGGTTTCATATTTGGCTGTGTTTCATACTAATTGTTAGGCCTATGCTATCGTACTAAATTTGACCACGATACATAGAGCTTATGGCAGGTGTGAGGTATGGCTGGTTTGATCAGTCAACAGGGGATGCTCACTCCTCCGAGGCACCTGATCCTACTTCCAGAATTTCAAGGGTCTGTTTTATGCTTTGTTAAGATTTGTATGTAACTATTGGTAGTAGATTTTTGGAGGTTGTATGATCACTGTTTTTTATATTCGCCTTTTTCATTATCTCAGGTATTGGTGGCAAGATGGACCAATACTTGTGTATTCAACATTGTGCTACTGCAGATGAATTGGACTCAAAACTTTTATCTTTATTAGAACTTTT